GGTGGTCTGGGGCAGAGTTCGAAGGATGCTGCTGACCTACATGCTAAGCTTGTACAGTTTAGCCCGCAGACACCAGACATGGACAGATACGGAAATAATACTGGCGACGGGTTGTCACAGGAGCGACAAGGTCCCTTGTCCGATCACTACTGGCAAGAATCTGTATCTAGTAAACCACTGAGTCGACCAAAGTATTGGTATGATGACGGGACATACCAACCGCGCAGCAAGTGTTCAGACACAAACGAAGCAAAGACCAGGCGAACACCATCATTTAATATCAAGCCTGCAACCTACGACGGCAGTGGGTCATGGTTGGACTACAAGGCCCATTTTGAATCGTGTGCTGCATTGGCAAATTGGACCGAGGATGAGAAGGGGTTATACTTAGCTGTTTCCCTCAGGGGCCAGGCACAAGGAGTACTCGGTAACCTCCCAGGTGGACCATTGAAGAAATATAGGGACCTGGTATATGTTCTCAGTGAACGGTTTGCTCCACCAAACCAGACTGAACTCTATCGTGCGCAGCTACGAGAAAAGCGGCAAAAGGCGACCGAGTCATTACCGGAGCTGGGACAAAGTATACGGAGGCTAGCGAATCAAGCATACCCGACCGCACCATCCGATGTCATTGAGGTACTAGCAAAAGAACAGTTCATTGACGCCTTGATAGACTCGGACATGAGATTGCGGATTAAACAAGCCAGGCCAGCTAGTCTCAATGAAGCTATACGCCATGCCGTTGAATTGGAGGCCTTCATCAAGTCAGACCAGAAACACAGGGAGTCGCAAGGGTTCTTAAGGCCCATAGCTCAGAAGGAGGCTAATGACCAAGAAACTGATCAGGGAATGAAAGCATTGACTGCAGTTATGACTGAGATACAAGAATCCCTGGCAGGCCTAAAGACCCAAGTAGCAGACTTGGAGTCTAAACAGCGCAATTGGCGACCAGCACCTAAATTCCGTAACAAAGGTACTGACGGTAAATGTTTCAATTGTGGTGAAAAAGGCCATTTTCAAAGGAATTGCCCGGAGACGAGAAAGGATAACCAGCAAGGTAATAAGAAAGGAAAAGCCAATGGTGCGAAAAAGAAAGAGCAAGCTGGTGTGAATAGACAAGCTGGGGAGCCAGGAATTTATGTTAATGTGGAGATCCATGGAGTAAAAGGAAAATTTCTAGTGGACACGGGGTCGACTTTGTCGCTGGTATCTGAATGTTTGTTCACGGCAATATGCAGTCGAGATAGGTATCAGCATCCCTTGACAAAGGTGCCCCGCGACATTTTGTCTGCGAATGGAGAACCACTGATAGTAAGCGGTCATACAGTGTTACCAGTATTAATTGATAACCACTTGTACAAGAAGGGACTGGTGGTAGCCAGACTATCAGTAGACGGAGTCCTTGGGTTGGACTTCATGAACGAGGAAAAATGCGTTGTCGATGTGGTGAAACGGAAACTCGCAATTGGACAGCAGGAGGTTGAGTTGCTCAGTGAGGGAAGAATAGGTTGTTATCGTGTGGCTGTTGCTGATACTCTTAACATCCCCCCAGAATCTGAGATGGTTACCTATGGACAGGTCATTCTTCCTCCTGGTACCGCTGTGCCCAAGGGTGTTAGCATTATCGAACCTGCACCAAAATTCCTGGATACTGATCGAGCTTTGGTAGGAAAGACTTTGGTCAGCAATAGTGAAACAGTCCCATTGCGAATTATGAATGTATCTCCAGATGTGAAAGTGGTGCATGCAGGGACGGTTGTGGGGTCTCTCACACCGATAGACAGTGTTATGTCTTGTGAAACAACCAGCAAAGAAAAAGAGGCTCTAACTCCGGTACTTCAAGATCTGTTAGACAGGACCAGTGAAGGGCTAACTAGAAATCAAGTGAAGCAGGTACGCGCATTGTTAGTTCGACATTCCAATGCCTTTGCAAAGGATAATCAAGACATTGGAAAAACCGGTGTCGTGAAACATTCAATCAGCGTTGGTGATCATCCACCGGTAAAACAACCCCTTCGGAGGCTTCCGGTTCATGCAAAACAAGCCGTAGACGAGCATATTGATGATATGTTGGACAGGGGGATAATCGAACCTTCAACTAGTCCTTGGTCGTCTGGTGTCGTCCTCGTAAAGAAGAAGGATGGGAGTACCAGATTTTGTGTGGACTACCGGCGCCTTAATGACGCAACCATCAAAGACGCTTACCCTTTACCAAGGATTGATGAATCCCTTGACCAGCTGTCTGGAGCATGCTGGTTCTCTACCCTCGATTTGTGCTCCGGATATTGGCAAGTCGAGCTGGAGGAGGGAGATAAACCAAAAACTGCTTTTTCGACCAAACGTGGCCTTTATCAATTCAAGGTAATGCCGTTCGGGCTGTGCAACGCCCCGGCTACGTTTGAAAGGCTGATGGAAACCGTGTTGCGGGGACTGCAGTGGGACATCTGCCTCATATACCTTGACGATGTGATTGTCACTGGGAGAACTTTTGGAGAAATGTTAAGCAATCTGGAGAAGGTACTTCAGCGTTTGTCAGCTGCCGGTTTAAAACTAAAAGCGAAAAAGTGTACGCTGTGTGCTAGAAATGTTGAGTTCCTTGGACATATTATTTCGCCTGAAGGAGTTTCCACAGACCCTGGCAAGATACAACTAGTGAAGGATTGGCCAGAACCAACAACTGTAACTGAGGTCCGATCATTTCTTGGACTGTGCGGCTATTACAGGCGGTTCGTCAAGGACTTCTCTGCCATCGCCAAACCATTACATCGGCTTACAGAAAAACACAAACGTTTCATATGGACTAAAGAGTGCCAAGAAGCCTTTGATTGCCTCAAAGCAAAGCTGTGCCAGTCCCCGATATTGGCATACCCAGACTTCACTAAACCATTTGTGCTCGACACAGATGCAAGTGACCTTGCTATAGGAGGTGTACTTGCCCAAGTCCAGGATGGACACGAGAGAGTTATTGCATACGCAGGTCGAACACTGTCAAAGTCAGAGAGGAAATACTGTGTTACAAGGAAAGAGTTGCTCGCCGTTGTCTTCTTTGTCAAGTATTTCCGCCATTACTTGTATGGAAAACATTTTCTCCTTCGTACAGATCACAGTTCCCTGCGTTGGCTCCTAAATTTCAAGAACCCAGAGGGCCAACTTGCAAGATGGTTGGAAGTTCTGAGCATGTATGACATGAAAATCGAACATCGACCAGGATCCCAACACTCAAATGCAGACGCACTTAGTAGGCGACCTTGTCGGAAGTGTAAGTTCAATCCTGAATGGGACAAGGTAACAAAACTGTCTGTTGGTGGCTTGACAGAGACTGGGTCTAGCAAACAAGAAGAGTCCGACAGGCAACAAGATGAAACCGGGGGAAAATCCTTGTCAATGCTCCAGAAAGAGGATCCAGATATTATGTTAGTTAAGAAGTGGGTAGAGGACACTACCAAACCAAACACCAAAGACGTGCACATGGGTGGTGTAATGGTGAAGTCCCTTTGGTCACAACGGGATATGTTGATAGTCGCGAATGACATACTGTACCGCAAATGGCAAGACTCTAAAGGCAAAACGTTGCAAGCGGTTGTACCAATGACTGAGCGAAGGAGCATATTGAAGATGTGTCATGATCATCGGACCTCTGGTCATCTGGGAGTAAAGAAGACCTTGAGCAAGGTAAGACAAAGCTTCTTCTGGCCTGGTCTACAGAGAGATGTGAGACAATATATAGCAGGCTGTGAAGTGTGCTCAAGAAAAAAAGGGCCGATGAAAACTCCGAAAGCACCTATGCAAGTAGTTGGTGCCGGTATGCCCATGGAAAGGATAGCAACCGACATACTTGGAGATTTGCCATTGACTAGCAAAGGGAATCGTTATGTATTAGTAGTGTCTGACTATTTTACGAAATGGACTGAGGCATTTCCAATGCCAGACATGACTGCAGGGACCGTGGCTGATATCATTGTTAGAGAGGTTGTCACTAGGTTTGGCGTACCAACGGTGATACACTCGGATCAGGGAAAACAGTTTGAGGGACAACTCTTCTCACAAATGTGCGAGGTATTGCACATCAAAAAGACTCGAACCACTCCCTACCATCCGGAGGGAGATGGTATGGTTGAGCGGTTCAATCGTACGCTGATTTCCATGCTGGCTTCCTACGTCAATGACCACCACACGGACTGGGATGACCATCTGCCTTTTGTTACTATGGCATATAGATCTGCAGTTCACGAAACTACTGGCAGTAGCCCTAACGCCCTTATGCTTGGTAGGGAAGTATCAACGCCACTGGACATTATGTATGAGCTACCCCAAAACGCAAAGAAAATTCCAACAAACCAATGGGCTTGGGAACTAAAGGAAAAAATGGAGACAGCTCATGCTCATGTCAGAAAACATACAAATGCAGAAATGCTACGACAAAAGATCTGGCACGACCAAAAGCTCAGCTGGCAAACCTTCTCGGCTGGAGACCAGGTCTATGTTTACTTCCCGAGGTATCTACCAGGCCGTTCTTCAAAACTTACAAGTTATTGGAGAGGACCATTTGAGGTAGTAAGCAGATGTTCAGATGTCACCTACAAGGTACTGTGTGGGACTCGCGGTGCACCACAAATAGTTCATGTAGATCGCATGCAACTGAAGAAAAGACAAGAGCTAACAGGCGAGCAAACATCGGACACAGGACCGATGAAAGGTACCTCAGAACCTAAGGAGGGGGAGGTCAAAGACACAGGACAAGGTCCCCAAACTGTTAGGGATGATATCATACCCCGTACCTCTGGGGATGATTGTGAAATCGTCGAGGCGAGTGAGGGCGAATGGGGAAACCCATTCACGTCCCGACGTACGAGACGGCCACCCCGCTGGCTGGCCGAATATGTTACTAATTTTGATTAGTTAGAGTACCAATAGTATTCTTGTATTCCTGATTTTGTAAGTTGTGAACCATTTTCATACATCATCTGAATCCTTTCTTCCCTTTTTTGTATGTTGTAGAGATGGTGAAGACAAAGACCACTCACAGGAAGGAACAGAAATGTCCCATGTGTGCATTCACTAGTGTAGATATTGAAAGGATGAAGGAGCATATTCTCATGTGTGGTCTGAAGGAAATGGAGAAGAAATCCTTCGTATGTGAAGAATGCCCATTTGCTACCACCTCGGCAAGCAATCTTCTCCGGCACACGAAGAGAAGACACAGTGTAGAACAGACGGCACAGCCGGGACCCTCACGTGAAGGAGGTAGCTATTCTACAGTGAGAGAGGAGGAAGACTCGTGGAAAGACAATGACCCTGGTGATCTTGCTAGCATCCTAGGTGATGTGTCGGACTCTGACAATGGGGAAGACCATGATGAGTCTGCTGCTGGCGAGGAACCTGATGTAGAGGCCATCCCTGATCCAACGGTGAGGAAGCATACACGGCCAGATCAAGTGTTCACCCCTAAACGGGCGCCAGAGAAATTGAGTCCCAAGGATCCCAGGAATTGTATCCCACAGAAAGTCCCAAGGGTAGAGAGGCCTCCTACCAATCTCCATCAAGTTCCTAGGGTGTCAAAGGCGATGGCGAGTGTGTCTACTCAGACAAAGCCAGTTATAGAGAGGCATGTGGTCTGGAAAACGACAAGGTACACAGAAGGAGATAGGGAAATCGAGCTGGTTGAGATGCATGAGACGGAGACCTCCTGTGGTGTATGCGGACTGTTAGATGATTGAAGAAATGTGGACGGAAGTGTTTGTGTCCTTCAGACCTACTGAAAGTTGTACTTTTATTACATATTGGAGACTGTTAGTGTGATCATCGGTGTTTTAGATAGTCTTTAAATGTTCTATTTGTCATGCGGGACGCATCGACTTAAGGAGGGGGAAGTGTGACGATTTTATTCAGTTAGAGTTATCTCCCTTCATGTAACGTTTTGTATACGTCCTGTTTTGTATCATTCCCCACCTACCTAATTATTTTAATTATCGATGATTGACTTATGTTTTCATGAAACTAGTGTTTACTAAATGTGTAATCATACCTGTATAAATAAATAAAAACATTTGTCTTGCGTATTTGTGGGTTTTGGTGCTGTATTAATTGAGAAGGAAAATACTGGAGACACCCAGAATAATACATAAGATTTTATGTAAATACTGGTTGAAACCAGTAAACAAAAAAGAAGATTTTGACAGACGGAAGAAGGTCGGCTATATCACAGGTAATAAAGTATTAAAGCACACAGTTCAATTATACTGTTACCAGAAGCTCCTGAGTAAGGGGTTGCCTGAATAAGGCAGCTCTGGTAACAGTTATTGTTACGTGTGGTCGGTGCCAGTACGTTGACGTGTCAGGTACGCCAGAATCTCCTGAAAAGGGGTTGCCTGCAAAGGCTACTCTGGTACGCCTGACTACTGATACAGTACTTGGCACAACACTTTGTACTGTGATAATAACAGGACACTGGCAGGCGACGTCGGAGCTGTACGGTGGTCGGCTCAGTAATAAGGGACGTGCTTGCAGTGTTGTAGTGCTGACAGTCTGTTAGTGTTGCGGTGTGTGGTAGCCTTGTTGGGCAACATACGCCTAGGCGACGTGATACGTACCGCGGACACATTGTTGGCTCGTGTATGGTGACATGGTGGACAGAGGTACTGTCCTTCTCTGTTGTAGTGTATAGATATATTGTTTATTAAATTGAGTAATTGTTCAACTGCTCAGCCAGGTAGCTGAGGAATTCCAATCGCTTACGGAGCAGGTAGCTCTGTCTAAGAGACCCGGCGTGCACGCGCGCTACCAGAGACATTTTAATGGTGGCAGCGGCGTGCACGCGCGCAATGGAGGATATCAACAAGACCATAGAGGAGCTGGAGGCCCGCATCGCATCATATGGTGTAGGACAGAAACCAGGAGATGGTCCAGCCAGGCACTCGACTCCGAGGAGTACTACCACGGTGGTATTAGACGAGAAAAACACAGCTGACTCCGGGATAGTGACTGTGCGCAGTTCAGATGTTGATTCTGGTGGTGGTCTGGGGCAGAGTTCGAAGGATGCTGCTGACCTACATACTAAGCTTGTACAGTTTAGCCCGCAGACACCAGACATGGACAGATACGGAAATAATACTGGCGACGGGTTGTCACAGGAGCGACAAGGTCCCTTGTCCGATCACTACTGGCAAGAATCTGTATCTAGTAAACCACTGAGTCGACCAAAGTATTGGTATGATGACGGGACATACCAACCGCGCAGCAAGTGTTCAGACACAAACGAAGCAAAGACCAGGCGAACACCATCATTTAATATCAAGCCTGCAACCTACGACGGCAGTGGGTCATGGTTGGACTACAAGGCCCATTTTGAATCGTGTGCTGCATTGGCAAATTGGACCGAGGATGAGAAGGGGTTATACTTAGCTGTTTCCCTCAGGGGCCAGGCACAAGGAGTACTCGGTAACCTCCCAGGTGGACCATTGAAGAAATATAGGGACCTGGTATATGTTCTCAGTGAACGGTTTGCTCCACCAAACCAGACTGAACTCTATCGTGCGCAGCTACGAGAAAAGCGGCAAAAGGCGACCGAGTCATTACCGGAGCTGGGACAAAGTATACGGAGGCTAGCGAATCAAGCATACCCGACCGCACCATCCGATGTCATTGAGGTACTAGCAAAAGAACAGTTCATTGACGCCTTGATAGACTCGGACATGAGATTGCGGATTAAACAAGCCAGGCCAGCTAGTCTCAATGAAGCTATACGCCATGCCGTTGAATTGGAGGCCTTCATCAAGTCAGACCAGAAACACAGGGAGTCGCAAGGGTTCTTAAGGCCCATAGCTCAGAAGGAGGCTAATGACCAAGAAACTGATCAGGGAATGAAAGCATTGACTGCAGTTATGACTGAGATACAAGAATCCCTGGCAGGCCTAAAGACCCAAGTAGCAGACTTGGAGTCTAAACAGCGCAATTGGCGACCAGCACCTAAATTCCGTAACAAAGGTACTGACGGTAAATGTTTCAATTGTGGTGAAAAAGGCCATTTTCAAAGGAATTGCCCGGAGACGAGAAAGGATAACCAGCAAGGTAATAAGAAAGGAAAAGCCAATGGTGCGAAAAAGAAAGAGCAAGCTGGTGTGAATAGACAAGCTGGGGAGCCAGGAATTTATGTTAATGTGGAGATCCATGGAGTAAAAGGAAAATTTCTAGTGGACACGGGGTCGACTTTGTCGCTGGTATCTGAATGTTTGTTCACGGCAATATGCAGTCGAGATAGGTATCAGCATCCCTTGACAAAGGTGCCCCGCGACATTTTGTCTGCGAATGGAGAACCACTGATAGTAAGCGGTCATACAGTGTTACCAGTATTAATTGATAACCACTTGTACAAGAAGGGACTGGTGGTAGCCAGACTATCAGTAGACGGAGTCCTTGGGTTGGACTTCATGAACGAGGAAAAATGCGTTGTCGATGTGGTGAAACGGAAACTCGCAATTGGACAGCAGGAGGTTGAGTTGCTCAGTGAGGGAAGAATAGGTTGTTATCGTGTGGCTGTTGCTGATACTCTTAACATCCCCCCAGAATCTGAGATGGTTACCTATGGACAGGTCATTCTTCCTCCTGGTACCGCTGTGCCCAAGGGTGTTAGCATTATCGAACCTGCACCAAAATTCCTGGATACTGATCGAGCTTTGGTAGGAAAGACTTTGGTCAGCAATAGTGAAACAGTCCCATTGCGAATTATGAATGTATCTCCAGATGTGAAAGTGGTGCATGCAGGGACGGTTGTGGGGTCTCTCACACCGATAGACAGTGTTATGTCTTGTGAAACAACCAGCAAAGAAAAAGAGGCTCTAACTCCGGTACTTCAAGATCTGTTAGACAGGACCAGTGAAGGGCTAACTAGAAATCAAGTGAAGCAGGTACGCGCATTGTTAGTTCGACATTCCAATGCCTTTGCAAAGGATAATCAAGACATTGGAAAAACCGGTGTCGTGAAACATTCAATCAGCGTTGGTGATCATCCACCGGTAAAACAACCCCTTCGGAGGCTTCCGGTTCATGCAAAACAAGCCGTAGACGAGCATATTGATGATATGTTGGACAGGGGGATAATCGAACCTTCAACTAGTCCTTGGTCGTCTGGTGTCGTCCTCGTAAAGAAGAAGGATGGGAGTACCAGATTTTGTGTGGACTACCGGCGCCTTAATGACGCAACCATCAAAGACGCTTACCCTTTACCAAGGATTGATGAATCCCTTGACCAGCTGTCTGGAGCATGCTGGTTCTCTACCCTCGATTTGTGCTCCGGATATTGGCAAGTCGAGCTGGAGGAGGGAGATAAACCAAAAACTGCTTTTTCGACCAAACGTGGCCTTTATCAATTCAAGGTAATGCCGTTCGGGCTGTGCAACGCCCCGGCTACGTTTGAAAGGCTGATGGAAACCGTGTTGCGGGGACTGCAGTGGGACATCTGCCTCATATACCTTGACGATGTGATTGTCACTGGGAGAACTTTTGGAGAAATGTTAAGCAATCTGGAGAAGGTACTTCAGCGTTTGTCAGCTGCCGGTTTAAAACTAAAAGCGAAAAAGTGTACGCTGTGTGCTAGAAATGTTGAGTTCCTTGGACATATTATTTCGCCTGAAGGAGTTTCCACAGACCCTGGCAAGATACAACTAGTGAAGGATTGGCCAGAACCAACAACTGTAACTGAGGTCCGATCATTTCTTGGACTGTGCGGCTATTACAGGCGGTTCGTCAAGGACTTCTCTGCCATCGCCAAACCATTACATCGGCTTACAGAAAAACACAAACGTTTCATATGGACTAAAGAGTGCCAAGAAGCCTTTGATTGCCTCAAAGCAAAGCTGTGCCAGTCCCCGATATTGGCATACCCAGACTTCACTAAACCATTTGTGCTCGACACAGATGCAAGTGACCTTGCTATAGGAGGTGTACTTGCCCAAGTCCAGGATGGACACGAGAGAGTTATTGCATACGCAGGTCGAACACTGTCAAAGTCAGAGAGGAAATACTGTGTTACAAGGAAAGAGTTGCTCGCCGTTGTCTTCTTTGTCAAGTGTTTCCGCCATTACTTGTATGGAAAACATTTTCTCCTTCGTACAGATCACAGTTCCCTGCGTTGGCTCCTAAATTTCAAGAACCCAGAGGGCCAACTTGCAAGATGGTTGGAAGTTCTGAGCATGTATGACATGAAAATCGAACATCGACCAGGATCCCAACACTCAAATGCAGACGCACTTAGTAGGCGACCTTGTCGGAAGTGTAAGTTCAATCCTGAATGGGACAAGGTAACAAAACTGTCTGTTGGTGGCTTGACAGAGACTGGGTCTAGCAAACAAGAAGAGTCCGACAGGCAACAAGATGAAACCGGGGGAAAATCCTTGTCAATGCTCCAGAAAGAGGATCCAGATATTATGTTAGTTAAGAAGTGGGTAGAGGACACTACCAAACCAAACACCAAAGACGTGCACATGGGTGGTGTAATGGTGAAGTCCCTTTGGTCACAACGGGATATGTTGATAGTCGCGAATGACATACTGTACCGCAAATGGCAAGACTCTAAAGGCAAAACGTTGCAAGCGGTTGTACCAATGACTGAGCGAAGGAGCATATTGAAGATGTGTCATGATCATCGGACCTCTGGTCATCTGGGAGTAAAGAAGACCTTGAGCAAGGTAAGACAAAGCTTCTTCTGGCCTGGTCTACAGAG